GCTTGTGGTCCCTGTGGTCCCCATACTTTATGGGTTAACAATGTGGGAATCAAGTCTGTTTTCTGAATTCCGAATGTGAAGCTGTATTGCATATAATTAGTTTTGACAGTTACCTTCTTGTGATTGATTGAGATATTGGTTGTCATTTAGTTTTGTTTAGTTCTGAATTGCACATTGGGTTGATTTTCTTTTATCCTTGTATTCTGAGATTTGAAAAAATGTTATGTTTAATTTATTGGAAATTATAAAAAACTCTTGTTTCTCATAAAAGGAATTTTTTTTTTTTTCGAAAACCCTGTCTTCCATTTTCTGATATAATATTCATTTTCAAAGCTTCTGAGTTGGATACTTTTGATAACGATTACTTCTTATCTTTATTTTCTCATTCTTGACTTACAAATGAAAATTTATCACTCCAGCCCCTATAATCTCTTTTCTCCATTGTATGTGTCTGATGATTACTTCTTATTTATTTTTCACTGTTATATGTGCCTTCATTCTTGTAACCGAGTTGATTCTAGGTTTGAAGATAAGAAGTAGCCCCTTGAGCTGTTTCTTCTTCTTCTTCTTTTTCTTTTTCTAAAGAGAATTCTATTTTTTTTTATTTTAAAAAATCTAAAACTTCATGAGGTGTTTCACTCTGAACTTGTTTCTTGCACATTTTGGTTTCAAGCTATTGAGTGAGTGTTGCTGAACTCCTGAAGCTTATGATTGGGGTTCTTTCACATAAAAATTGAGAGGTGCTGTTTGCAATTGCCATAGTGTATGTATTTCCTCCAAGCTTAAGTTTGTTCAATTTCTGACATCACTCTTGAAACTGTTTCTATTCGATGGTTGTAATCTTTTTTCTTTTTATGTTTTGCTCAATTTGCATCTTGAATTTTCAGACTGATGTTCTGCTAAACCTCTTGTCACTACTCTTTCTTTTCAGAGCTTCCTCTTGAAATGTTATTTCATTTTCAAACGTTAAGAACTCAGGCTATCTTCTGTTTATTCGATATCTTCTGTTTCTATTTTTTAAATTTGTCTCCAAGAATCAGTTTCCTTAACTAAACATCAATTGGAATCATGTTATGAGGGATAGTAATGTTCAAAATTGATGATTCATATTTAGAAACATCTGAAATATGTTTTCCTAACTATTACTACTACTTTTGCTACTGCTGCTACTACCACTACCACCATTAGTAGTTACTACTACCACCATCACCACCATTACAACTACTTCTGCTGGTCCAGAACCGCCACCCCACTGTTATTATGAAAGTTTATACTAGTGACTGGTATTTATTTATTTTTTCTGACCATGAATTGTTGAATTTTAAAACAGATTTGGATTTATCTTACCCTCTCACCTTCCCCACCTCAGACAAGGTCTATAAACCATGACTATTGGAAGTCTGTCTCCTGGTAAGGAGAAGAAGTCCAGGAGAAGCAATAAACAGACAGTAAATGAGAAAGCCCCATTGCTGCCTCGAAAAAGTGATGAGGCTGAAGAGTTTGATGAGTTCAATGGAGCTTCCTTCACAGGGGCAGTGTTTAATCTTTCCACCACGGTTATTGGGGCAGGAATCATGGCCTTGCCTGCAACAATGAAGGTTTTGGGGCTTGGTCCTGGTATTGCAATGATTATTTTTGTTGCCCTTCTGACTGAATCATCGATCGATATGTTGCTGAGATTCAGCAGGGCTGGAAAGTCGGTTTCTTATGGGGGTGTGATGGGAGATGCTTTTGGGAAGATTGGGAGGATCCTGTTGCAGGTTTGTGTCATCATTAATAATGTGGGGGTCCTCGTCGTTTACATGATAATCATAGGTCAGTTCTCTTCTTTTATTTTGTTATCCTTTGAGTGAAATCATCTGATGAATATCACATCTTTTCTTTTTTGTGTTTTGAAGCACTACACCCACACAATCGCATGCACCTTGAGTTTTCATAAGGTATTTATTGTGTCCATTAAATTGTGAGGATCACTATTATTGTCATCGTTGATAGTTTTAGGATAATAATTATAAATAGGATAATGCTTGAAAGTACATGTGAGGGAGAGATGTTTAGAAAGTAGATTCATTTGCTGTGTGCTGGAAATTGCACCGAACGCATGAGCAACATAAATGATATATCATATAGGGAAAAAAAGTACAAATATGCTATTCTATTATAAATTGAAACTTTCATCAATGTCATATTTTACTATTTGGTGAATTGTTTATATCAGTTTTTAAAAAAACGCCGAGTCGAACCGGACTCGCCCGGTTCGACTCGGGAATCGCCATGGATGGATCGAATCGGTGAAAAACGGGAATCGTCCGGTTCTAGAGAGAACCGGACGATTATGCACAGCGACTCGCCGATTCACTGTATGGAATCGGCGAGTCCGTACATTGAATCGGCGAGTCCGTACATTGAATCGGCGAGTCCCGTATGGAAGAACAGAATTTTTTTTTTTTTGTTTGTTTGTTTGTAATCCATGATAGATTTTTTTGTAATACTTGATTCTTTTTTTTGTAATCCATGATCGAATTGTTTTTTTTTTTTTTACTAATCCATGATCGAATTTTTTGTAATCCATGATCGAAATGTTTGTTTTTTTTTCTTGTAATCCATGATCGAATTTTTTTTTGTAACCCATGATAGAATTTTTTGTAATCCATGATCGAATGTTTTGTAATCCATGATTGAAATGTTTGTTTTTTTTTGTAATCCATGATCAAAATGTTTGTTTTTTTTTTGTAATCCATGATCGAATTTTTTGTTTTTTGTTTTTTTTGTAACCCATGA